CTCAGGGGAGGAGGCGGGGCCAGGGAGGGGATTTGGGGAAGGGGTTGGAATAGGGGCAGGGAAGGGGCAGAGTTGGGGTGGGGACTTTGGGGAAGGGGTTGGAATGGGGGCAGGGCCTCATGGAAGGGGTGGAATGGGGGTGGGACTTTTGTATCTTTGTATGAAAAGGTGTCAGCGATGCATTAGCGATGCAGCCCTTGGGCCAATGTACTAGTCCTCGTGTGGCCCTCATGGTGATTTGAGTTTGAGATGCCTGGGACAGTGCATAGGTTATGGGAAACACTTGCTTTTACTACTCGGGTGAGATTAGTGATGGTAGTAAAGTTAAGCACGTGTTTGTAGGATCAGGGTCTGTGTGATATCACCCACTGGTAGCTGGTATTCAGCCAGGAGAGAGATCCTTGCGCTTAGGTGATGGAAGCCTGGGTGTTTGGATATTTTTTGTAAGATGAAGGACAAGGTTTCTAGCCCTTCCTCGGCAGGCGATTGCCTGCCACACATGAGCATGGTTCGCCCACCAGCATGGGCGGGGAGCACACACCTCAATATGTACAAGTGTCCTGGCAGCCTCGGAACAGCTGCCTAGAAGGGTCAGGGCTTCTAGGGAGAGCCAAGCCATCGCTACGGATGGCTGACTTCACTGGCGCCCTTATCGACCCCATGGCCCTTATCCTCTGGGCTGTAGCTCTGCCCTGCTCATCTACCCCCAACAGGGACAGCCGGGATCAAGCAGGGCCCATAGGAGTGAATGCTACAGGGACCCATTCTCCAGCTGCAGGAAGTGGGAGTCACTCAGAGCGTGGGGGGGAAAGGGAATCAGGCCCAGGCTCAGTATTGACTGCAGGGATATTTGTCGGGGAATAAGTGGGTAAGTGATCAAGGCTGCCTTGGCCCTACTAAATCTACATGATAGAAAAATCTGCATAAATGTCTGTCTTGGTCCATAGCCCAGCTGCGGCCATGACCCTCATGGGCTGCTATTGTGGCCTTCCACCTTCAGGGGACTGGTCAGGCCCCCCCCCCCCATCTACAATATGTGAGTGTCACCCCTGAAGTGAGCAGGGAGGTACAGCAGCAGACTGTTAGCGCCCCCCATGGTGCTGAAGTCTGTAAAGAAGGTGGGTGTGGAGTGGCTTGGAATGAACCAGCTCTGGAATGAATGTCACACCCTAGCGTGTCTGCTCTTACCTCCACCCCACCCAGAGACTTCACAGACCAAAGGCCCCTGGGAACTGCAAGGTGCTCTCCACCTGCTCTTTAAGGCTTTGGCTTTTAAAGTGAGTTAAGGCCTTGCTTGAACTATTAAAATCCATCAAGGGCCAATGTCTAAACTTGCCCCCCACTTTAGGTTTTGTAAAATATTATTCCAAATTTAGACTCATGAAATTTCTTTTAAACTGAAGAAAAACAAAAAACAAAAACCAGCCCATGTAAACAGCAACAGCCCCCCCAGCACCGCCTGCAACCCAAGACTTTAGAGCATTGTGCCTGTCAGAGAAAACCTAGAACAGAAATGAGCTGGTCTCTTCATTACCCACCATGAAGGAAGTGCAATTGCTAAACACATAGCAGCCATACAGTACCATAACTAGGATTAACATTCTTTTTTCAGGTTTAACTATGGTACCGTACATGTTTTACACACTTCCTGTCAAAAACAAAACAAAAAACCCACAACTTGTTCCATAGAATATTCAAATGGAGAATTCCTCTAGTTTTCAAAACTATCAAAAACAAGCCAGCTGCATTTAGGAATAATTGCCTGTGCAAATATGAAAGACAGGCAGGTGGCATAAATGCAACAGCACTAACAAAGCTGGCATTGGACAAGTAGCCCGGCACCCAAGGAGCAGGATTGTTGCTTGTGTGTATGTGTGTGTGTGTGTTGTGTTAGGAAGATGTGAAAGCCTCAAAGATTCCTCAGCTGTGGATGAAAAGAATAAGAACATCAGACACCCTGCTCTGTTGATCAAACATTTTCTGGAAAGAAAATTAACACTAACTGGCAGCATGATTAATGACTAATGAATCCACATTATTTAAAAAAAAAAAAAAGACTTTATGAACCTTGTTAATTTAAAAACATTGTTTTTTAACCAGATTAGCCATATGTCTCATCTTTGTGACAGTGCCTTTTTCAGTCACTCTTTTGATCTACACTGAAACAACAAATCTTGGATTTTCATCAAAGCAGCTTTAAAGGTTGGGTCTCTAGGTGCCAGGGATTCTTCATCTCTCATTAACATTCCCAAGGAAAGTGTCTCCAGTCTCTCCTCACACACCCTTCTATAGGCAAATAATTTATCTTAGCTGGCAACTTGCCTAGTGCATATGATGTTCCAACTTAACAGCTTTATCATCCCCTTCCCCACCCCACCCCGTGACACGTGAATGTTTCTGTTCTTGTTTGGGTGATGATCTCCCTCACAGCAGGACGTACCTGAAGATGAGTTTTAGCTCACACTCTGCTCTTGGTTTCAATCTGGAGGCCAGGTCAAATAGGGATGATTTAGGGTTTCTCAAATCTTTTCTTCCTGTGATCACTACTTACTCCCTTGCAGATCTTTCACCACCCCACCTTACCGGCATCTAAAGACCTGCTTCTGAGACAACTGCCAGAACTAGGGGCCATGGTGGGGGAGGGAAGTAGTCTGAGATCTCAAGTATCTCAGTTGCAGGTCATGGCTAAGCTTCAGGGAGCGAGTGCCCCCAGCTGCCTCCCAGAGTTGGCTATCTCCTATGGCAGGGAGTTGTCACAGCATTAGCTCATTGGACAGAAGGTTTCTAGATGGATTGTCTATCAAAAATAGGCCAGAAAAGGATCCAGAAGTAGTTAAAGTGTAAGAGTTAGTTAACCAGAAAGTGCCCCCTCTCCTCCACCTCTAGACTGACCCTGCACTGTGCAAACAAACAACCTGCCTAGAAGGGCTCAGTAGCATATACACAAGTCTTGTGCACGTGCTCCCCACTTCGGGCTGGCCCTGCTGCCTTGTCAGTCACTATACTCCTCCCGCTCCCTCAGGGCGGGGTACTTGGTAGCCATTTTCCATTTCACGTGCTTTGGCTTCAGGCAGGCCGCAAGGGAGGTTTTCCTGCTGATGCTCCTGGCCACCTCCTGACTCTTGGCCTTTCTGGGGGGTGAGGAGGGTCTGACTAAGGGCTGGGTAGGGAAGATTGTCTTGCCCTTGGGAGCGCCCAGCAGCTGCCACATTTCTCCAGAGGTTGAGCTGCTCAGGTATTGCCAAGGCCTCTTTCCACTGCTGTCCCGCACATTGACCTTGGAGTTCAATTCCTGGACCAGCAGCTTCATGATCCTCTGGTGTCCATGGATGGCTGCAAGGTGCAATGGGGTGTAGCCACAGCTGGATTTCACATTCACATCCAGGGGGGTGCCCGCTTTCTCGGCCCCACTGACCAAGTCCTGGAGCACTTGGTTGGCTCCATGTTTGGCGATCCAGTGGAGCGCGGTGTAGCCGGAGATAAAGTCCCTCTGCAAAGCAAGCTGGGGCTCTTCCAGGAAGAGCGCCCGGACCTGCACCCAGGAGCCAGCAGCCACCATGACAATCCAGTTGTGTTCCCTGGGGTGTAGCGGCACGGAGGAGGGCCTGGGGTCCAGAGGGCTGTGGGGGACTGGCAGCACCTCCTCTGTGGGCACACAAGTCTGTCTTTGCACAGAGCCCAAATACTGGAAAGTGATGGGAGCGTCCACGCCTGGGGAAGCCAATATTGCCCCCTTGGCCATCTTCCTGGACCTCCGGGGGCGCCGGCCTCTCCTCCCCTGGTCCTGGTCCCTCAGCTCATCCTCGGAGGAGGACACCCTGCTGCTCCCGTGGGTGCTCTTGCTCCGGAAGGAGCGGCGGGTGCAGGGCGCGGTGCCATTCACCTCCACCACCTGCCTGTTGGCTGGGCGCTGGCAGCGGTCGCTGGGTGCCCCATTGCTGAGCTGCTGGCAGCGGGAGTCTAGCGCCCCTGGGTCCCTGGGCCCTTCGCCTGCTCCCCCGGCGGGGCTGGCACCCCTGTCCCCTGCCTCCAGCGGAGAGTCACTCCCCTCGCTGCCGGTGCCACCTCCGCCGCCCTCTTCGCTCCCGGGGCTCGCCTGCTCCACGAAGTCCTCCAGGTCCTGCAGGGCCAGCTGGCATCGGATGCTCCGGAAGACGGGCGGGGGGCATCTCCAGCCAGCCTCGGGGGGCGGCGGGGCCGGGGCAGGGCAGGTGCCGTCGGGCGAGCGAGGAGCGGAGCAGCTGTCCGGGGCCGCCTGCCCCGCACCCCGGCTCCTCTCCACCCACTCCTGGGTCCGCTGCTGCTGGAGCCCGGCGGGAGCGCAGGGGCCGTGAGCCCGGGGCGCCCCGGGGAGGGCGTGCGGGGCAGCCCGGCGCAGCTCGGGGCTCGGGGCGCAGCGCTCCGGGGGGTGCCCCTGGCCGCTGCCGGCCCAAGCCGGGGCAGGAGGCGGCTCCGCTCCCTGCCTCCCTGAGTCAGCCTGGGGGAGGCCGGGAGCCCCCCGGCCAGCTGCGCCCGGGCAGGAGTGGGGATCGATCCCGGGGGAGGCGGCCGGGGGGTGCCGGGCGCGGCTGCTCCTGGAGCCCGCAGCGCGCCCCGCTCCCTGGCTGGGCGGCTGGAGGAGCCGACTCCTGCCCTGGGGACGCACCGGCGAGGCCCTGTCCCTGGCACCGCCCGGGCCCCGGGGGCGGCTCCGCGGCAGGTGGCCCCAGCTCCTCGCCCAGCAGGTCCCGGTACCTTTTCCTCAGCACCACGTACTTGGGGCCGCCGCCCGCCTCCTGCTTCACCGTGGCCACCGAGTTCACCAGGCTCTTGAACTGCTCCCGGCGCTGCTGCACCTGCCCGGCCGGCCCGGGGTCCCGCAGGAAGCGCTTGAAGTGCCCCAGCAAGGCGGCGTTGGTCACTCGCCCCCCAGCCTGGCAGAGGAAATCCAGCAGCTCCTCCTGGCTCAGCTCCCTGGCCATGGCTCGGCCCCCGGCTCTCGGTGCGTGTCAGGGCAGCAGCGGGGGCCTGTCACCTGCCCAGCGAGCATAGCATGACCCCTTGTCTGCCTGCACCCCCTTTCCTGGGCAGGTGCCGGCACAGCAGGGCGACGCTCCTCGTCTCCTTGAGACCAGTCCCTGATAAAGTTCCTCCTGGAGTCAGTTTCACCTGCTCCCTCTACTCCGCCCACCCACCCAGCTCCTCCCCTCTCTCAGGCATGAGCACTCCCCTGCTTTCCCAGGATGAGTCAGGCGGGGGTCATGCTGAGTGTGTGTAGAGGCGTGAGCCCAGCAAGGGAGAGACGCAGAGAAACTCCGCTCTCACCTGTCGGTAAGTTGTTGGTTTTATTTTCTTTCACCTTACCTACTCCCTCCCGTTTCCTTTCATCACAGCCACCTTCCTGATGTCGCCGAAAGAAGGTGGGGAGAAGGTTGTGCTTGAATTGGATTGCTTTGCCTGACGTTCAGTCAAAGTGGTGTTACAAGTAAGTTTCATATGGAGGAGGAGGTGGTGGGATAATATAAATCTGGGGAAAACAAATTTTGTGAAATGTTTCCCCTCCCCCCCCTCCATTTTTTGTGGCATTTCTGCAGGTTAAAGGGTTGCTGTCAATTCCATTTTGAAATATAATCTAGTTTCTTAAGGTAGTATGGCCTGAGTTTAAAACAAAACCCCAAACCACTTATTTTTAAAAAGGTGTGTGATTCGATGTGTAAACAGAAAACAACACAGTGTAAAATTATATGAACAACATGAAATTACATTTAAAATGTGCTCTGAGGGGTTTTGTGCTCCTCTGATGAAGTTCAAAGGCCTGAATTAGAGGTTTTTAAAGTCAAATGGGCTTCAGATCAAGCACTAGCTATGCATAAGGGTTTTTTCCGTGAGAAACTGATTAAGGCCCTCAGGAAAACATTTAGGTGTAACTTTGCACAGCTGAGTAGCTCATGAGTGACCCATTTCAGAGTGGTAGCCGTGTTAGTCTGTATCAGCAAAAACAACTAGGAGTCCTTGTGGCACCTTAGAGACTAACAAATTTATTTGGGCATAAGCTTTCGTGGGTAGAACCCACTTCATCGGATGCATGGAGTGGAAAATACAGTAGGCAGGTATAAATACACAGCACATGAAAAGATGGGAGTTGCCTTACCAAGTGGGGAGGGGGTCAGTGCTAATGAGGCCAATTCAATTAGGGTGGATGTGGCCCATTTCCAACAGTTGACAAGAATGGGTGAGTATCACCAGAGGGAAAATTATTTTTTGTAGTGACCCAGCCACTCCCAGTCTTTATTCAGGCCTAATTTGATGGTGTCACATTTGCAAATTAATTCCAGTTGCACACTTTCTCATTGGAGTCTGTTTTTTAATGTTCTTGTTGTTGTAGAATTGCCACTTTTAGGTCTGTTGTTGAGTGTCCAGGGAGATTGAAGTGTTGTCCTACTGGTTTTTGAATGTTACAATTCTTGATGTCTGATTTGTGTCCATGGGCCACATCCACCCTAATTGAATTGGCCTAATTAGCACCGACCCCCCCCACTTGGTAAGGTAACTCCCATCTTTTCATGTGCTGTGTATTTATACCTGTCTACTTTATTTTCCACTTCATTCATCTGATGAAGTGGTTTCTAGCCCATGAAAGCTTATGCCCAAATAAATTTGTTAGTCTCTAAGGTGCTACAAGGACTCCTCATTGTTTTTTCATGAGTGACAGTTACTTGGGTGGCTAGGTATTTGCAGAATCAGGGCTGAAAACCTTGTTCCTATAATGGGCACTACTAGCATGTTTTCCCAGCACCCAGGCCGAGTCCCATGCATCCTTATTGCATCCCATTGATATCAGAGGGTGAAGTATGGGCCCATACTAGCAGACCCTGTTCCAGGATTAGACTGTAACTGATCGGCAACACAGGGAAAACAGAGCAAACTAAAATAAAGTTAAAAACTTGAAACATCAGAGTAAAATACATTTATTTCTGTAACTCCTGACAGTTATAGTTATCTTAAGTGTTACTTATAGGTATGCAATTTTCAGACAGGAACGTGATTTGCAACTAGATGGATTTAATCTGAAAAATGTATGTGTTTGAGATGGAAGGATTGACTGAGAGGAGAACTGGATTTCTATTATCCTTGACTCCACTCTTATATTTTAGTGCCAGATTTCATTGTAAGACGCTAGGAAAGAGAGACTCTCATTCATAAGTATTTATTATTAAATTCCTTCCTATTGCGTAAGACACTAGGTATGTGAGGCACAATGTCTAATGTGTAGGATACCGGCATTCAAGAGAGTATTTCAAGGAAGGCTGACAAATATTATTATTCTGCAATTGACAGCGTATAGGCAGATTGCTGTGAGCCTCAGAAAGTTAATGGGGCCCGGCATGCACTTAGCACTCGAGTTGCATGCTATCAGTTACAAGATTGCAGCCTAGGAGTGCGGTTGGCACGAAAGGGTTTAAAGTGAACTCCCAGTGCTGCTGGACTAGTTTGATAGAAAACCTACAAAATTCCCCTTTGACCACTACATACAACTCCAAATATGCTGAACAGCTCTGCAGACAGACTTCAGGAAAACTGAGGAACCACATACTGCTCCTCGCATACTCCAGAAGGGACTGCCTCAGACAAGAAATCATCACTTTCTCCCACACACTGGAAGAAGAAAATCAGGAAACTTGCCTGGAAATCATACAAGAAACCCAAAACAATTAGGAAAAAAATTACTCATGACAGCCATCCAACCACTAAAACAAAAAGTGGAGCCAACTACAACTCCACAGCCCATAGAACAGCATCTCCATCAGAAAACATGGCACCAGGACTCACCACATACACACTACACAACACCCCGACGTCAGCAGTTTACCAAAACTACCCCTAAGTGGTGCTGAATTATCTATACTTTGCAAGAGACTGAATTTCTGCCCCACCACAGCACCTGATACATACTAATATGTGGAGAACTAGAAGACTTCTTCCACTGACTCTGCCTCAAAGAATTCTTTCACAACAATGATAATACCACCCACAATTGCTACATTCCCATTGACTGTCATAAGGAAAATCATCATCTGACTGGACATCCCACAACAGATGAAACCACACTCTTGGTCACTACACTGATTGGTTCAGAAAAAAAACTTGACTGTGAAATCCTTAACAAACATCACATCCATCACAATCGCCACGGCCAAGAGGACAGCGCTACAGCCCCTGAAATTCAGCCACCAAATAGTGATCAAACCAGCAGGGGGAGACATCATAGTCCTCAGCCATGATGACTCTATTAATGAGGCCAACCAACAACTCTCTGACACCACCAATATAAAGAACGCAAAGAACCCACACCACAATTTCCCCAGGAATTTAAGGATATCATCAAATCCTTCTCCAAACAGGTCCTTGAGAAACTCTACAATGTCATCTCCCATGAACCCACCCCACCTTCTACATACTTTCCAAAATATACAAACAAGGGAACCCAGGCAGACCCATCTGGCCACAGCACTCTTATTGAAAGAAGAACGGGACTCATAGAAACCATCCTCAAACCACTCACCACACAAAGGTCCAACTTCCTCCAGAAACTCTGCAACATTAACATCCTCCCTCAGAACACCATCCTTGCCACCATGTATGTCACCTCCTTATATGCCAATATCCCTCACAAAGACCGCATCGCTGCCTGACTCAAATATCCATAGGATAATGGACCACTCTCAAACACATCACCCCAAACACATCACCAAAGTCATCCATTTCATCCTCACCCATAACAATTTTACATACAACAGCACTTTATCCAATCCATGGGAACAGACAAGGGTGCTAGGATGGCCCCCCAATATGCCTACCTCTTCATGGACCTTGAGAGAAGAATTTCTGGACAAATACACCACAAAACCAATTATATACCTGAGCTGCCTCAAAAATATTTTCATCCTCTGGACAGACAACCTAAACTTCCTCATAAATTTCCACCACAACTTCAACAACCATCACCCTTCCAAACTCTCTCGGGAACACTCCCACACTAGCATCAACTTCCTCAGCACCATGATCAGCATCAACAATGGACTCATACAGACAACTACACACAAGAAACCCACGGATCACCACAGCTACCTTCACTAACCACCCCAGACACACCAAGAAATCTGTTATCTACAGCCAGGCACTCCAGATACCACACAATGTGCTCCAAGGCAAAAGTCTGGGATACACACCTTAACGCACTTAAAGCTGTCTTCACCGAACAAGGGCACTGCACCGGAGAAGTAGATCACATCATGGAATGGGCCACCCAAAAATCCTGAGAGAACCTGCTTACATACAGAAATAATCTCCCCACCCAGCCTGACTGCACACCTCTAGTTGTCACCTACCACCCCACACCGGAATCCATACAGGGTATCCCCAAACAATCACAACACATAGTTGATGGGGATCACATCCTGAAAGAAATCTTTATCTCAACCCCCCAATCCCCTCCAAAAAAACCCCAATCACTCCAAGCTCATTATCAGAAGCAAGCTCTCCACTGGCCAGGACATACCAACTCAACGTAGCACCAGACCCTGCCAGAATGAAAGATGCAAAACCTGCAGACCCATAGGTGCCGAGTTTCTAATCTGGCTCTGCCCAGGCCCTGCCCCGTCTCCACCACAAGGCCCCACCCCTGTCCTGCTTCTTCCCACCCCAGCTTCGCCCCCGCCCCACCTCTTCCCGCCCCTTCGCCAACCAGTT